ATTATTGTTGAAATTTGACAAAGATAGATGATTATTGAGCTCTTTAATTACGTGAGTAATCTTGGTTTTGAAACAATTAAAATAATTTTTTTAAATATAATACGTGTAATTTCAGTATTTAGTAGAAATAATTTAGTGAATTTGTAGTTGATTGAAAAATGCAATATTATGTTCAAAACGCGTACGTTTAAGAGGTATACATTATTCAAAATATATTTCCTTTGTAAATACGCACGGAGAATTGATAAACGATATTCCTGAAAAATGTGCTTTTAAGTATTACGCGAAAGGAATTTTTTATAATTTTTTATAAAGTCTGCGCAGGAAGCGGAATTACACACTAGTGTACATACTGGGACTGAATTTCAGATAAATTGAACGAAAGGAGATACCTCGCGAAAATTATATTCACCTTTGAAACTGTTAGTGAAATTACACATCCGTCAAGATACATTTGAAACGTATCCATTATATGAAAAGAGCCATCATTATGACGAGCTTGTGTATTATTTCGAACAAATAGATTATTATTTAACCAAAAGATTTTAAAACGCCGAGCAAGAAGATTCAATGATTAAAAGATTTAAAAGTATAAAAGTTCAGTATGAAATTTAACAGCTCTAATATTCGAGAATCCAGAAATTCAAATATCTGGAAATCCAAAGATTCGAAAATCTAACAATCTAAAAGTTTAAGAACTCTTGAACTATTTAACGTTCAGTTCGTCTTCCGGCGAAAACTCCTTTAACAATGTTCACCGTTCACTCTACTAATAGTAACTGTTCTTCGATTATTAAAATTATCAGACATGTAAGCGCATCCTGGGTTTGCGCGTCGGTCGCTTCTAAAATCCAAATTTGAGAGGAGCAGCATGGGTGAATCGAGGGGCTGTTGCGCACTGCAGCAGCTCCAGTCGCGTTGCGGTTTCCGGGGTGCGCAGTCGAGGGTGGGAGTTGGTTAGCAGCCCCTTGCGTACCTTGCCACTTCTTTCAGTGTTACACCCTCGACTCGAACGCGTCTGTTATCCTTCCTCGATCTTTCAAATCGATCTCATAAAAACCGACACTACTGAGAATCTCTATCCACTAACAACGGCTGAACAACGAAACGATTTGACCCGTTTGATACTGAACTTGCCTGTCCTTTTGTGATCGTGACCGAGTAAAAAGATGGAGATAAACACTACTACTGCACGTGCACGGCTTTTCCACAGGGTAATTGATCGATTTAAGCGGCGCGTGTAACGCATATGTCGTAACAAGCAACGATACTCCGTGAATTGTTCTTGACGTCAATATGGATGGACTAATTCGCTAATTCATCGGTCACTCGTTACGTGATATCCTTCGTTACGATTCTTCGTTTTCCTTTGTACTCTCACGTTTTCATTACTGAAGTGCTTCGTCTTTGTTATGAATGGGCTTAGCGTGATGTATACCTTGCTGGATCGTGAGTTAACTCTTGGTTCCTGGATGTTTTTCCATGGATAGGAGAATCTCTCCGTCGTTGAGGGTGGTTCGTTTGATAAAACAGGGAAAAAGTAGAGGCACGGTAGGTCCCTTTAAATACGTAATTGAACATAAGTTAACGATTTAATTCATTTACAGCAATTTCAATCAAAGGATCAGTGGTAAACATTATGTGTTGATACGAATATATAAAATTGACTTTGGAGAAAGTAATAGACATGCAATGGTATATCAGCATCTATCATAAGTCTTACTTACGATTCTGTAAATAATTCACTTTTGAATATGTATTGAAACACCTTTGCAAATTATTTACGTGTTTTCTTTCTGGAAAGGAAGAATAGGGATTGTTAAAATGACGATGCTGATGGTAACTATTCATTATTAGCCTGTCTTAATTTGATAATTACGTTAAGATCTTCTTTCAACTTAATTGTGCGTTCTAATTCTATCGACTTGCTGATGTAGGATTCCCACCGTTCTGCGGAAATACCTACACACAGAGTGACAGGCGTATAAATAGAAAAATTCTTATTTGCAAATTGAGCTGATTAAATTTCGTTAAAATCATAGCAAGGCTTCCAAATAAACAAATTTACAATATTCTTCTTCGCGAAGGGTTGAAACGATATCGGATGAAACAAGCTATAATGATGATTTACGATGGATAAAGGTGGGTCAGTGTGGTCGAGTCACGTTTGATTTACCAGTTGATCACATAGCTATCCGGTGTGAATTGGCGCAGGTTCAAGAGACAAGTTCGTCAATGAGGCCGGCTGACCCAGATTCACGATATCTGGTTTAATTTCGCTATGTGGGGTTGGTGATACTCGCGCGAAGCTCACAAAATTTGTCGCCTGCCTGAACTGGGACGATCTAATCTTGCTAATTAAATTAAATTTCTATCGATCGAATGGTCCGTGCCGTTGAGTGATACCAATTCCTCGTCGATGCTATAATTCTTGACTCTTCCATGTATATCTATGGCTGATTGGAAAATTTAGTCGTTTCTAAAAGAAAGGAAACAAAAAAAAAATCGATCAGTTGTATAAAAATATATCAGTTTGTCCAATAAGATTGTTCTGCTTACTACTTCCAGTATTATTCCAATTTTTGTTAAGAAGTGTTACTTATGGGTATTCTTGATCCATCTGACAACCAACTCTTTTAAACAACACAAATAAAATCTTAAAATCCTTCTACGTTTCATTTCATATTCCACTTTGAGGAATATTCAAATAATAAAAATGTTGACGTAGGAAGAGATTGCTTAAAAGCCATTTCAAATCATCCAAGTATCGAGCCTCCAGCGACTTTTACAGGGATTCGCAAGGACGTTCATTGCCTTCTGGCGTCTCATTTTGCTTTTATTTCTCGATCTCTTTCGTGATTTTGACGCGTCAGAAGGAAGGACAGCCGGCGAACAGCCTTCAGAATGTTCTGATCTTTGTTCCTTATCTACTAGCGACCTTATGAGAACTGTTGTCCTTGAAGGATCTTTGGAAGTGATTCTCGAGAAAGGTGAAGCATCATTAGTCGTTCGACGTTCCTCCGAGCTACTACTTCGGGTGTTCTTTCGTCTATTAAATCGGAGATGTTGAGTGATTCTCGATCCGTGATCTTCCATAAAAAAAATTTCCTCCTCTCTTAGATGAGATTCGAGGTTGAGAAAAGATCTGGTGTCCATTCTAATGAAGAAATTTGCAATTTTATACCTTACGCTTGAATTCTTAGTTATGTAAAAGTTTTCAATTTTGTGGTTATTCAACAGATGGTGACGTAGATCTAGATGTGATATGGATGATCTATAGCTTGTAATGGATGCTTTCGATTTGGACGTTTTGATTTCTGTGAATCAACAGTAAGTGCTTTTCCATTGTTCCATTGCAATGAGTATTATTCTATTAGATGAATGGCTTGATGGTGACGGTGGCGTAGATGGAATTGTCATTGATCTGTAGGTGAAATTAAATTAAATATGTAGGAAATATGTAGCAGAAAAGCCGTCGCGTCCTATCCTTTTTGCTATGAAATAACACGAATATTAAATTATTTAAATTACAAAATCGAGGACTTAATAAATTTGACGAAATGAAAGATTACCTTGCCAGTTGAGAGAAATGATTATTAGATGCAAATATAGTCATATCTATTAATATTTTCAATTGTCATTTACTTTGCAATATCTTGTACTATAACGCCACATGATAATATTAATAAAATGTTTTCTACAAGTATTCAAATATGTTTGTGCTATTATGAATTTTTATGAGATTGCTATATCCTCATATGTTGAACGGATAAATTACAACAGAATAAACGAAATGGAATGTTTGATCAATATATCATAAGGAGAGAAAAAGAAAAACAAACCTCGTTGATCATGAGCATTCGATAAAGAACTCGATAAAAAACTCAAGGTAAATCCTTGTCATGGATACGACAGCTATGACTGGCAAAGGAACACATCGTTTCATGACGTTTAATTGATCTCTACCCCCCCAACTTGTTCGTTAAAGCGACCGGAATTCCTGCAGGTCAATCTATTCCAACGGTCACTTCAACGAGCAACGATTAATGACAGATTAAGAAAGAAAAACGTCACGTTGTTCTGTCCACGTAACGCAATCAGTTTCCATTAGATGCGCGTCGTCATAATTGGAGGATTTCCCAGTCTTCATCTAGGGTGAAATACATTAGTGGTGAAACATGTGTATCCATGGGTATCCATAAAATCTTTAAACTTTTTTTAATGAAAAATATAGGAAGAAATAAATTATTATAAATGTATGTCAGTATATTCTATTTTTATAATATTGTACATCTTATCCAATGTACTTCTTAGAATATTGATATTTCTTGAAAGCTAATTGATTGCAACATAAAGTTCAATATTTAATTTAGGTCCTATATAACACAAAAATATTACAGAAAATTCAAAGTATATCTTTTGAAATAAATATGTGAAAAATAGCTATAATTTAATTGTAATATTTCACGATATTAAGTAATCTAAATGTCATTTATACTTATATGGTATAAAACGTATTCAGGATTTACATGAATATTAACATTGTGCACTTAAGTGAAATTGAGGACGAAATGCGGTTGGAGTGCAATGATATTAGTATTTGTATATTCCATGTATAGTCACTGCAAAGTTGGGAAATATTTGCGGATCGTTGTCCCACTGTCCTCGTTGATCACATTTATCGAGTACAAATTCAAATGATTTAAGAATAAAGGAACAAATTGACGGACGAGAACTCTTTTCCATTGAGAATTACGTATAGTGATCGTTAGATAGAGAAATAATAGAAAGGAACACCAACGGTGAAAGCAGATTCTGTTTTCAATTGGTGATGTCATACGTTACCCTCGAGACAATGAATACGTTTAATAAACTATGTATCTTATCCTTGTGGTGTTTTTTATCAAAATGATTCAAGATATCAGATTTCTATGACATCGCGAATAATGATATAAATATTGAACATTGATATAAATATTTGATATGAAACGATAACGAGAGAATTTGACTCGGCTGGAAAATGATATTTTCTGGAATAAATTAAATAAATTAATTAATTTGAATCATTTCTTTTTTTTGTTTTTGTAAATAGATGCTTGCAGTGTTTTTGTTATTAATACCAACGCTCTGGGGGGATGAAACCGAAGCTAGTGTTCTTGTAGCAGACATGACAATGTCCAGAATGGTTGAATTGAACGCTCACGCACCCTTTTGTGCGTTGTATACTGATCGTGGAGTTATTCAGAGAATGGTCCTTGGAGCCGATCCGAAAAAAGTCAGACAAATGTCAGCAAACCTTGTAACAGACTTGGAGGAAACGTGTAAAGCGTCCCGTGATAAGGGAAAGGTACCGATTGATCTCTTCAATGAATTGAATTGAATTGAATGTTTCATTAGATTAAAGTAGATCATGACCTCATATACAGACAGTCGTAGCAGTGAGTAGAATTCTTAGAAGTACAATCTACAAACTCTTATAATATTTATGGATTCTCTTACACAATTGAAATGATATTATCATTTTCAAATTTTACAAATAATAAATTACAAGTTACGAGTGTCACCAAATTCTCTTAATAAAATAAAGATAGAGAATAATGTATATTTATTATTATTTGTAAGTCTTCATTCTAATTGTAAAATCTGCTTATGCAACGGAGATGCATATCCTCATCATTTGTCAATGCACCAATATTACTAATTAAAAAATTATTTTGTAAGAGAATCCACGACTCAAGGAATTGTAAAATATTGTAGAACATATCTGTATGTTACACTAGAATCAGCCTGCAGGCGGTGGACTGATCTATCCAGGCACAAAATGGTGTGGGCCAGGCACTTTGGCAAAATCGTACGACGACCTTGGTCATCATTCAGCCGAAGACGCTTGCTGTCGAGAACACGATCACTGTCCAATCACAGTATCGCCTAAGGAATGCATTAATGGTATATGTAACAATTCACCATTCACACGGTCTCACTGCGACTGCGATGCCAAGTTCCGCAGATGTTTGCAGAACCTTAATTCAGAAGTGGCGAACACCCTCGGTGCTCTTTTCTTCAACGTGATACAAGTGACTTGCTTCAAGGAAAGGCGTCCCTGTTCGCAATGGCAGAGGTGGGTTTTAAAGATAGGATTTATATTTTAGAAAGAAAGAAATGAGTTTATAGTACCTTTTTCAATCCAAAAATTTTTTCTGCGATAATGAATACATCATCAAAAATGATGATCCTCTCGAAGTGATTAACGATTAAATACGCTCATGACGATGCTTGCGTCAACGACTCTCCTTAGTTGTCCCCAGATTTGGATGAATTCGACACAGTACGAGTTTATTAATTCGCCATGGTCTACTAATTTGTCGCGGGATTATTACACCTACAAGATCCTTCTCTTCAAAACGTTGCTTCAAGCGTTGCGTGACGCTCTCAAGAAGAAACAACTTCTATCTTCATGGCTACATGATATGTCCATCAAGTAGATGTAATTCTGTTACTTTATTCTTACAGGGTATCAGTTGGTAATGGGAATTATAACCATGGTGGTGGTCAACGATGGTTTCTTTAACACTTTTCTTCGCAAAATTAATTTTAATGGAATTGTGAATGAATTTTTTAAAATCTTAAGTTCCTTCGTTCTTCTCCTTTTTGTAAAATTTCAATGAAACGATTGTATCGTAATCGATGTAATTGTTATGTGGTCGATCTGTTACAGAAATGGTTACGCGGAATCAGTATCGAACCGGTTGTGCTCCCAGTACAAATTCCGACCAAGCGACAAATATGTGCCGCTGATGCCCTTGAACGTGAACTAGCTATTGCGAAAACGCAAGAAGAACGGACCCGACAGCCTTTGAAGTAATGCCAGTTAACAGAGTTTTAATGAGCGGGATAATTGTACGCGCTTCAGCCGCGTTCCTCGTGCATCCCTGTTTCTTTCTTTCATGTTAAATGTTTGGGAATCGAAACACGATCTTCTTTCCCGATCATTCATGAATTTACAGGTCACTCGGTTTTCTCGGAATTGGTGGAATGCCATCTTTTTCTTGACTTTTGCTCAAGCGAAGTTGCCTGCTTCCTCATTACTTCGACCAATTTTCCTAAAATATTCTCAGTTTTAATTTTTATAAAAGTAAGAATCTTTCTCGAAAGTTTACTCTTTAACTAAATCGATATTTTTCTAGCTTACTTAGTAGGGATTATGAAAATTTTTGAATATAAGAAGATAAATTAGAAGGTAATGAAAGGAACCCATTGGTCAGGAGCCGAGAAACAGCTATGCAAATGTTAACACCTGTCGTCCTTGCAGCTCGGTTTGCAGTGTGTGCGAGGTTAACGTGCGTTACCACGAAAATTTATTTTACCATTTGTTTCGCGATTATAAAATGAAGCGTACAAGGAAAAAGTTGTGCAATATTTAGAGAGCCGTTGAAAAAAAAAAAAAAAAATCGACACGAAATTTAAGAAAAGGCTAAATGTATCGAGAGTATTACAATTAAATCGAATTTATATTACTAACGAAACAACTTTACTGCTCAATATTACTCTTTTAACGTTTCTGCAGCTTTAAAAGTAACAGTTTAGGTGACAACCTTCACAAAAATTGAAAGAGAAAGTTATTAATGACAGTACAAAATGAAGAGGAATCTGCTCTCTTGGTAAATTTAAATTGAAGATTAGCAACAAGAAAAAAAATATGATTATTGGAAAATTATTGCTTGATTAAACGCGATAAAGGAAGGTTTTTACCGAAACAAGGTCTCCGTCTCTTGCATATCATTTATCGCCATTATTGTCGCTCAAACGCATGCAACTGCATGAGAAAGTGCGGCATCAGCTCTTTCCTAGATTAAGATTTTCCATCTAGTTGATGCGGAAGTAGTTGAAAAAAAAAATTTGTTGAAAAATGTTAAGAAAACACAGAAATAATCGGCGCCAAAATGGCGCCATGAATAAAAGTTCAAGCAAAATATTATTTGAAATATGTTATATTCGTTTTCGAATCGAAATAAGAAATAGCAAATATTTCTGTTGCTACTGTATCAACTGGATGGATTCACAGCGTACGAATGAAATCCATATCTACGATTTTTCTATCCTCTTTGATAGATTTAGATTTTCCACTTAACAAATCTCTATTTGATTCAAGATATTTTCAAGGTCGTTTGTGTATCTTACGAAAGACAATATTAACATCAGAGTTCATGAAAGATTTAGTCTAGGACTGCTCAAAGTAATTTGAAGAACACTTTCATCTCTTGGTTTCACTTAATATTTACTGCAAAAAGGGACGAACATCAATTATTTTGAGCAGTATTCGAGAGAAAAGGGAAAGTGAAGATATGGAAGGAAACAGAATGGCAACGACCCTGCACAATCTTTACTGTGATTGAAATTAGACAGACATAAGCATGCTGTACAGTTTTACTTGTATAGAGGTATGTTATAAGCAGCCGTCCGTTATTTGTGGCTACCTGTGTCCAAATAATCGATGAGACCTGGAGAGAACCGGAAGTTTTCGCTGGACGATCAAAAATTATCCGGATTTTATAAATATCTCGAGAAGGTCAGCCGGGAAAGCGTGCAATCGATTGAGCGTATCATATTGATGTCATATTGAGAATACTTCGATGACACTTCATTTCCTGAAGACCTTCGAATTGACTAAAGGTACGGTGAAATCTGCAAATTCGAAGTAAAGTGAAAAAATAAAACTTGAAACTTGAAATGTCAATTCCAAAGATGAACAGTTAAATTGTTAAATCTTATTCTTATTACATTATTCTTACAAACAGAAATTTGTACTAAGTTTTGCAATATTTAATATTAAATCCATAACTTTCATATTAATAGCAGTATTAACAAATTTCATAATATATATTTAGAATTGATGATTTAAGTTACCATTTAAAAATGAATCTGTTCATGGAAAATAAAATATTCATAAAACAGACATAATATTTAGTAAATGAAGCAAATTGCTATCTATTATTTCTTTACTTGCTATTTATTATTTCTGAAAATACGCATTTGTCTAAATGCCCAAATCTAGTTATGGATTGATTGCACCATTTGAGAGGAATTTTATTATTTGAAATTCATTTTTCAATAAACCGAATTTTCGAGATTAAGCTGTACCGACGAACGTGAGATGGATATGTATTTATTATTACGAGTAGTAATTAAGTTTTTAATTAGTAAGTACAATATCATGATATATATTCGTTTTTAATCTTTGCACACGATAATGTTGCTTGTATTACATTACTTATATATACTATATATATTATATTACTTATATATATTATATCTCCCAAAGAATACGTATATTATATATCATAAAGGAATAATATTAATTTTGCACGATACTCTATAATTATATTATCTTGGAAATCTTGCAAAACTTTGAGTGGCACCATAATTATATGCCTTCATAAGTTATTGAAAACTAATTTAAGATATATTTGAGATATCATAAACTGCATCTGTATTGATTTGAGTTAAATCAAAGACCAAGAATATTGTAAGAAATAAACGACTACCTCCTTACCGATTACTTCTTCTTTTATTCTTCAACGAGCATTGACTTTGAAAAAATGCTGATCAGCGTCCTTTATCGAAAAAATTACTGACTGATGCGGAAGTTATTCGAGGAATGATCCGTTGTTGTTAAATCAATTGAAGATCATGCAATCTTAGACAGTCCGTCATACGAGGATTAATCACAGTGACGTTATTTTGAATTTCGTAGAATAGCCCTAATGGAATAAAAAACTTCATTAGATTGTGAGCGGGTTTCTTATTAATTCTTAGAATTACAAAGTACCAGTATTCGATAAAAGTTTCCGATTCTTTTTATAACGTGCAACAATATATATAACGCTTTTTGATATTTTAATTTTCAAAATAATTTTATATTTTAATTAAATTTCAATTTCAACTACTACCAATATTGTAATCTTATTCCACGTTGAGTCGGTAATGCTGGGAATGACATTTAAATGGTAGAAAAGTTTTAGCGCCGTCTGTGATTACCTAAGAACAAGATAGACTCGACACACAACATAAAAATGCGTAATTATAGCATAAATAAAAGCACATCGCAATCAAGCCTATATATATTATTTACTGCAATGATAATGAAGTTTTGAAATATTTTATATATAGATACGTATAAAGTTTTTTCTAAGTCTTTTAAAGCTTTAAAGTTGAGTACTTTCTGTATGATTCTTAAATTTCGCGCCATTATGCAATGTCCGTAATGTCGAGAATGGATTTCGAATCTGCTTGTTTCATATTCAGTGGCCAAAGCGCGGAGTGGGAGTGTGTCAGTTCTAGATGCTGTGATGGATGAAGTTTCATCGAACGGTACGTCTTTTCTAGCAGAGTAGAGTGTTATTTTTGGACGAACCGGCCGAATTTGTAGTGTGCTATATGCAACATTTCAAATAGTATAGCGCGACAAACGAATTGATCGATGATCTCCTGTGTACGCTGGATCCTTCATGGATCGCGTGGGCGTCCTGTCTTCCAAGTCTGTTGGCCCACGCTCTTCCAGAACCTTTATTTACGCATTCGTTTCGACTGCATCTTCTCGATCGTATATTAACAAGGGGAACAATGCTTCGACGAGCATTTTATAATTTTGGTGATGCTTTTTTCTCATTGACAAGCTTCGATCGCATTGCCGATTGGCCGATTTATTGTCAGCTGGTTGATAACCACTTTCCCAACGCTAATGTCAACCGTGAATCACGTTTCCTTCCTACTACACGTCCCTGACGCGCTCTGTTTTCCGTCTGACTGCGCCGTGTTTGTTTTCATAACCGCAGCAACTTCCACTTATTCGTCATTTAATGTTCGGGGAAAAATTCTGTCGCCGGTGTGTCGCGTTCCTATGACAGTCGTACAAAAATGCATGTACCATTACTAGTGTAAATAACGCGATACGAATAAGATATTTAACATTACAACGACCAGTTTTTATTGCATAACATATTGTACAGAAATGATTCTGTTTTAAAAACCAATATTAATTTTTATAGTGAAGTATTAAAGATATTTATATTTAATAATTGTATAAACAAAAAACTTAGAATCATTGCATTTTGTAATTCTAATGTTAAAAATCTAATTTGATAATTAAATTGATGATATTTTTCAGATCTGGGAAGTGGGGAAAGTGGCGGGACATTGATATGTGCTGGATGTCTCAATGCAATAGATGAAGATGAATTCATACAGGCACTAAATCAAGAATGGCACATTGATTGTTTTCGGTAAAAACAAGTAAAATAAAAATACAGTGGTTACAAAAAGTATACAAAGCATTTTGATCCAAGTAATGAAATGTAGTAATGAAGTAAAAAAAAAACATTTTATTGGATAATCCTTTTTTTTAACCGCTGTAATTTAACCATTGTAATATTAATAAGAACATGTCATTTGTGAAATTATTACACTCTAGGTGTTCAGCATGTGATATTGGTCTGTCCACATGGTACTTTGAGAAAGATGGCTTACTTTTCTGTAAGGATGATTATTGGGCTGCCTATGGTGAAGCTTGTCAAGGTTGTGGCCAAATCATTACGGGTCCTGTCATGTTGGCAGGAGATCACAAATTTCACCCAGAATGCTTTGCCTGTAATTCTTGTGGAGCCTTTATTGGCGATGGAGAGAGTTATGCATTGGTCGAGAGATCCAAATTGTATTGTGGAAGTTGTTACAAGAGGCAAATGCAGCCGATCAACAGGACAGCTAATTGTCCCTTCACAAGAAAGCCACACAGCATTAGATTGGTTGAAATACCTCCAAATACTTCTGATCCTGAGAAACAGAGGGGAATTAAATTAACATTAGACACAACTCCTAGTCCTCGAAATTGTGGTGCTTTACTTCGTATATCCGAGTATGTATAGCAATATACATTTGTCTTTATTCAGTGGTTAAAAGTTCGAAAATAAAATACAGAGCTATAAAATAATGTTGGCAACTTTTTATAATATTTTAAAACAAACGTGCAAAACAAAAGAAAATAGGAAATATTCACTTCTGAAACAAACTGCCATTGGAGTTATATCATTGTGACTTTTTTATGATATTTAACGCTATGCATGAATGTCATTGTTTAAAAATAAATAAATAAAACAGATGAGCAGCCTCTAATAACTTTGAACTAAAATGCAGGTTAATGAGAAATGTTCGTGGAAAAATCAGTAAGCTGCTGGCCTCTGTGATGGAGGTTCTATTTAGACTATGCTGCCACTTCTCTAATCATAGGTACAGCATAACAAATAAATAATATGCACTAGATATTGTGTTGTTACAAGTTAGATGTGTGTCTTTTAGTTTCTGCTATTTAACTGCACGCAAAATGTATTTTGTGCAAAATGATCTTTTTGTGTGTAATATTTGTTCACTCCATATGTGCTGCATAAGTGTATGAGCATGTAACATTTAGGATGAAAGATAAGTTTAATACAACTGGAGCACTGAAAATAATTGCTACATATATATCGCTCTATTAATATGATTTTCAATTTTAATATTTTTATATTGATTTTTATATCAATGATTTTATTTCAGTGATACTTTATATTCATAGCAAATATGTCTCGTTTCTTCCATGTTTCTATATTTTATATTTCTTATATTCTGTATCTTATATGTTTCTGATAATTAAAAAGAAAAGAAAACAAAACTTGCGTTAGATTACAAATAAACATGCAAATTAGTTTTACTAGTTAATTTCACTTCTAATCTTTAAATCAAATACGATTTAAATGCACGTGAAGTTTTGCATGTTTCGTTTAAAAGATGTATATATGTCATATATCTATGAACATTGGAGATGTAATGTGAAATATGTTACAGACTGAATATGTCCAGTGATCTCATATCTTTGCACATCGGTGACCGCATACTCGAAGTAAATGGTACTCCAGTTAAGGACCAGCCTATAGAGAACATTGAAAATTTAATACAATATTCTGATACAGTTGTACAGGTAAATTTTATCTTATAACAAGAGCTTTTAACATTACTCTCTGTTTAAAAAATAATAATGAAAATAACTACATTGAACATTGTAGCTGACCATTGAGCACGATCCGGACGCAGTGTCTAGAAGACTCACATATTCATCGCCGTCCGCGGCTATGTTGACATCGATTGCCAGTCCAAGAACAAGTCCCGAAAATAAAGAACGTTTATTTAAACGCCGGGATGAAGGTTACATCAGTGGAACGCGCAGCAGACAATTGAGAAGGACCAGGGATCCTCTGCACAAAGAGCGTAGCAGTTCCATGTCGCGTTTGCTTGATGGGTATAGTTCAAGTTCCAAAAAGAATGTTTTCATAACGCCGATAATTGAACATACCTGTACTTTAATTTGCATCTTTTACGATATATTCACAGATCTTCAACTACAAATCCTACATGTGACTTAAGCAGGACTAGATCGTTTCGTGTCGAACCAAAGAATCAAAGAATATTCCGTGCCAGTGATCTAGTAAAAGGTGAACTGCTGGGTACAGGATTTTTCGGGCAAGTGTTCAAAGTCACACACAGAGATACCAATGAAGTGATGGTGCTAAAAGAGTTGTACAGAGTAGACGAGGAAGCTCAAAAAAATTTTTTAAAAGAGGTAAGCCGATCATTTTATCGTTACTAGTTTTTCTCTATATTAATATTTTATACAAATTTAATAGGTTGCGGTATTACGTTCTTTACATCATAATAACGTTCTTCGATTCATCGGTGTTCTATACAAAGACAAAAAGCTTCATTTAGTCACTGAATACATAGCGGGTGGAACTCTAAGAGCTTTGCTTCACGATACGAATGAAATCTTACCTTGGGAGCAACGAACGTTATTTGCTAAAGATATAGCCGCTGGTATGGCTTACTTACATTCCATGAATATCATTCACCGAGACTTGAACTCGCATAATTGTCTCGTGCGCGAAGATAAAACTGTAGTCGTGGCTGATTTTGGCCTAGCGAGGATAATACAGAACGGCAATTCTCCCCATAATCGCAAATATAGCAGACATTCCGATGGAGAGGCGAAAACATCGAAGAAAGAGCGAAAGAAAAGGTACACGGTAGTTGGAAATCCGTATTGGATGGCACCTGAAATGATGAAGGGTAATAAGTATGACGAGAAAGTTGATATATTTAGTTTTGGTATTGTCGTTTGTGAGATCATTGGTCGGGTTCAAGCGGATCCCGATTATTTGCCACGGTCATCAGATTTTGGTTTGAATCAGAACGTATTCAAGGAGAAATTTTGTTCCAATTGTCCAGAGATGTTCTATATGATTGCCTTTCTTTGCTGCGACCTAAATCCTGACAAGAGACCACCTTTCGAAGTGATGCAGTTATGGCTGAAAGCATTAGCAAAGCATTTATCGGTGGGTGGAGAATTGCCATCAGATTTGGAGTTCGATATTAGAAATTATACGGGACCGAGTACGAGTACGAGCGAGTCCACGACTCCAGAGACTCTGGCGCCGCAATTGAAGCCTATTAAAGAAGGTCAAGTACATCAGGAGAAAAAACGGTGCAGTGGTTGTGACGACAGCACGCTGGAACGTGAAGAAACTGTGCCTGCTAGTAATATCCTTCAAGTGCCTGACGTGATAAGCCCTCGAGGAAGGTATGCAAGACAGAACAGTAAAACGAGTGAATCGTCCGGAAGTTCGGGTCGTTATTCCAGACAGAACTCGAGGTCCAAGGAAGTATCTATTGACAAGCCGGACATTGTTATTTCTCCGGACTCTAGTGGATTTACTGGCTGCTTTCCAAGGCAGAGCGTCAAGTCGATTGAATCGCCTACCCACTTTTCCAACGATAAACAAGATTCGTACGTGAAGAACGAAGTGGAATCGAATTTAAAACGGATACCCACGATCGAAAAAATACGGTACGTGGGCAGAGCGAGTCCGTGCTTTTGTGAGACTTCGAAATCATCCGCAGGCTCTTATTTGAGAAGGACGAAGATTTCCCCTACGAAAGAGACGCCAAAGAATGCATTTTCGCCGCAGAAGAACAGTCAATCCGAAGCTGGTATCTCGTTGCGGTCAAAAGTAAGCGTAACGCCGGGAGAAGTTAGCGAGGACGAATCTGCCAACAACAGGGTAATCAGACAGGAAAGTAACGTTTCGGATATCGGTAGTATATTATCTAGGCAAGGGAGTCTCACAGTATTAGACTGCACGGCTAAACACAAAGATAAGATGTACAAAGATTATTCGCCTTTTAACACATTGCAGAAGGAGGATCTACGTTCTAAAGAAGCCGGTTTCAGAAATAATGCTGCTCTTCATTATACAGACAGTCTCTATTCGAATTCGAATCTTTCCAAGAACGATGATTTCCTCTCGTGTAACGCACGAAATGATATTAATGTAGATAACAAAAAGGATTGCACCACGTCTGGCCAAGATTGTACGAATTTCGAAACGAACGACTCTAAGAAACCAGTAATCGAAACAACGTCGATGTATGATGAAAAATTGCCTAACTCTTTAACGGAGTACACCGGATGTTATAAGAATGTGGATCTATGCAGGCAGGATAGTTTTGGTTCTGACAGCGCGGTCGGTACCATGAGAAGTAATTTCTTTGCAGACTTAGATTTCGTTCAATTAAGAGACGGCAGGCACACACCGGATTTGTGCCACACACCCGAACGATGTTGCAGCCCTAATCGGGCTGCATCGCCAATAGAGAGTACAGCTTTGTGAAGTTTCCACACTAACAAAGTAACGTATTACGTTGGTAATGAAAAAACGGATCTTTACTAATCTGATTTTTTTTTACGCTTAACCGAAAATCTGGCAATTTAAGTTGTTTAGTTCTTATTTTTATTTTTATTTTTTTTTTTAACTTTCACAATGATAAATGATTATCGCGAAGCGATTTATTCTTTTCTCTTTCTTTTATCAAACGTGTTTTAACATCGCGTGAGCGAGAAAAAAAGTATTATCAACAGTTTGATGCCCAGTATTATAGGGAATCTCATCATCAATCTGCGTGAGTTTGAAACATTTTGGATGGCACAGGGATGCCATCCAGACGAGCTCGTACAAAAAGGTTCGCATTCCTGCAAGATCTTGCCTTGCGGTTTCACATAAGCGGGACTTTATGTAATTATAAGACTAACGAAAGCATTCCATCCAGAATCTTATTTGATGCATTCAGAATCGATAGAACTAACCGCGTGCTTTTGAGAAGAGTGGTGTTTGTAAACGCACCTATCACCGTTTTAATCATTTTCGATGGTGTTCCCAAGGACACTGAACAAGAAGTCTGGATCGGTACATCCCCAGTTCTTTATTCTCTAAGGAAATATGGGATTATATCGGAGAAGTTATAAGCATTATTGTAGAATCAGTTTTGTAGAATAGAGTGTAAAAAAATGATATTCTTTACCGGATATATATGTACATCATACTGTAAAATATTATTCACATATATATGATGGTGATGTGCATGTACAGATTATCAACATGTATAAATTTTGGATTCGTCAGTTATATCTTTGTTATTCCCATAACAAATATAATTTCACCGACAACATGATATTAACTACTTTCTTTTCTTGTGTTGCTATTTATACTTTCTATTTGTCTTTCATTTGTAAATTGCAAACTTGTGTATTCTATATTTTTATTTAACTTAAGTAATCCACATGTTACACAACACACTCATACATGTGTTAGCAAAGATATAAGTGATGATAGAGTAGTATGATGTGTATAATATAAAAGAATGTACATATAGTTTTGTATATATATATATATTCCAATATTTGTCATGTTCAAAACACTGTTTACAGAACATATATTTAACAGTAAAAAGCTTTATATTGATAATGTAGAGATGAAGGTTCTTTTGATACTATTAAAAAAAGTTGTATTTCTATTCTATTACATTCTAATTATAAGCAAAATGTTCCCTAATTTAATCGAGATAGAGCGGATAGAGGAGCAGAGTACAGGATTTAAATGATTTGCAATTGAATTTTGAGTTTCATAAAAGAAGAAAAAAGAGAAGCACGGTTAATATTTTCTACACAAATTAGTAATATGTCTGCACTTTATACTGTATACAAAAATTTATTTACTTTGTTACTTATACTTCTTTACCGTTCAACTTTTAACTCATGCGGTTGGCTATGTATTGAAACGTTGCTTTCTTCATTTTGGAAAACAATTTTTATTCATTTAAACGCTGTTATTAAAAGCACTTTAATTCATTACATCAAATAGATATTTATTATCTGTGATAAAAAGTGTTTTGAAGCTATCTATAGTTGAAAAATTTCAAGTGGGAGTAAAGTGAGGAAATGTTACTAAAAATAAAGGAAACCCCATTTCTCTTACTCTTCACTCTATAAGAAGAAAGAAAAATTACTCGCAGCATTAAACTATGACAACATATTAACGAAAGCAAAAATAACAAAAAAAAAAAAAAAAAGAAGTAATAGTAAAAATTTTTCACATATTCCATTTTCAATGGACAATACATTGTAAAACGTGTATTTCGAAAATGAATAATCATAATCAAAAAAAAAATAAAAAATAAAAAAATAAAAAAGAAAAAAAATAAAGAAATGGATGTGTATGTGTGGGAAACATGCGAGCATCGAAGACAATGCTCGATTCAAATGTTTAAATGAAGGATATGATGTACACTGTTGAAACATTCGAGTAAATTGTTTGGTAGTGACTAGCGAAGACTTGATTAATTGATTAATAATAATATCTTTGATTAATTAAATTCTCTGGTTACCATTTAAATGCGAACTCTTTAAATGTTTCGAGGCGAGTTCTACTTGAATCAAAGTTGACCGGCTGGTTCGATCGAATGTTTCAAAGTTTTGAATATTACCCGCGGATGTCGCAATATATATTTAGAGACACCTGTGTAAGAAATAATGGTCGACCGAATAATCATGTATGAATACTCACGCGCATATGTAAAACGCGGCGAGTAACACTCGTCGTAGTACGATTTTCAGCAAACAGTATTAGTCTCGTTATCATTGCTTACTTATGAATACCGTAGTACACAAGTAGGAGACTTTATAGACACGC